ACCAGGCACATTGCACGGGATGCTTGGAAAAGGTGGCAGGGCCAAGAAATGAGCAAAACTGCCCCAGTCTGGGCCCAAATTTATGCCAGCTACACCCCTGTGCCTTGGGAGTCAAGAAGAGCAAGGTTTGGCTTTCTAGAAAACTGCATTTACATCACCTTTGAGGTCATTCACGTCGCACTGAAGCATCTAAGATCCCCCAGCCAGCTTCCCCCTGCTCTCTCTGCCGTACCTGCTGCCATGGCGTAGACACCAGCATGAAGTGGAGCCCAGCGCGCTACAGTTTCTCCACCGGTTTCAGCAGATCCGAGTTTGGGCTTAATGCTGCTCCTGCAGCCCCAGCCCCCGAAGCCAGCAGTATTTTTTGTCTCACTGGGTTAGTTTTGCCCTGGCTTGTTTCTTCAACATTGCTGCTGTCACGCTGGGGCCGCCAGGCAGGGCAGTGCGCTGGTGGTGCTCAGCCTCCGTCTTCACCAAATCACAGAATGGTTGAGGCTGGAAGGGATCTCTAGAGAGCCCCCTGCTCCAGCAGGGACACCCAGAGCACGTGGCACAGGGTGGCATCCAGGAGGGTTTGGAAGATCTCCAGAGAAGGAGACTCCACAACCTTTCTGGGCAACCTGTTACAGGGCTCTGCCACCCTCACAATAAAGAAGTTCTTCCTCACACGGAGATGGAACTTCCTGGGTTTTAACTTGCACCCATTACCCCCCGTCCTGTCACTGGCCACCACCAAGAAGAATGTGGCCCCATCTTCTTCACATTCCCCTATCAGGTATTTGTACATGTTGATCAGATCTCCTCTCAGTCTTATCTTCTCCAAGCTAAACAGGCCCAGCTCGCTTAGTGTTTCCTTATGCAATAGATGCTCCCATCCTTTAACCACCTTTGTCGCTCTCCGCTGTACTCTCTCTCTGTACCTCCCTGCAGCCACAGATTTTCCTGCACTTTGAGGGTGAACACAAGGTGCCTGGATACAGGGCAGCGTCCAGAGCTCCTGCGCATGCCCAGCACAGGGTGGGGTGACAGGGCCACCCAGCCAGGGCAGAAACCCTTTAACCGCATCAGCTCTGGGCGAAGAAGGAGGAGACACCTGGGGACTCAGGGATGTTTCTTGCATTTAAGGTACCAATAAATGATAGGGGGGATGGCACCAAAAAACAAACAAACAAACAAAAACCCAAACAAACAAAAAACAAAAATCCCCAAAACCTAAAGTCACAATTCTTCTAAATTCAGGTTAATCCCAAGCCTGGTTGAGTCTGCTTTTCCAGTTTTATTCCACGTGGAAGTCTTGTGTTTCAAATACTGAGCCAGAATGAGGCAATCGGAAGTGTGCACGAGCTAGTGGTGTCTTGGACAGCAGCAGCACTTTTTTACCGTAACTCCTTCTACTTCTTTGACAGCGACTTCATACCAGTAGCTGCGGGTGGGGAGCAGTGCAGAGCCAAGGGTCCGTGGCCACACTGCAGACGTGCAGGCAAGAGTGGGGATGGAGCTGGAAGGAGGCGAAAGAAGGCAAAGAGGTGCCAAGTCTGTGGGATTGGTCAGGGACCTCATGTGAACACGAACAGCTGAGGCAGGAAGAGCCAGGCCCCAGGATGGACAGAGGATGCCCCAGCTTGGCTGCAAGCACAAACATGGGTCAGGCTGGGTTACACCAACCAGCAATTCCTGCATGCAGCAGGTCCAGGGCTCCCTGCAGCCTTGTGCTTCAGTCTCCTGCTTGTTATTTAGAGCCCTTTCAGCTTATATCAGTATCTTCTCAGACATGAGAACATAGCCTACAAGGTGTGGGTACACCTGTAAATCATAGCCTTGCTCTCAATTGTCTTTGCAGCTCAGGGATTTTTTAAAGCTAACCTTGTAATCGAGTCCCCTTTTGCTCATAGCATCTGTCCTACTGATTACACTCTCTCTATTTTCACAGTATGACAATACCCCCAAGAACTCTCCAAAATAAAGTAGGGGAGAAGAAAGTCATTACCAAGCAAGTCAAGGCCAGCGATACAGGACACTCTGGAAAGAGCAGCAGAAATGCTCCCCTGGTCTGCCGACACGGGCAGGACGCAGAAGGCCCCTTGGGCGCACGGCAGGACATCAATCAGACACTCCAGTGGTGAAGCAGAGTAGCCTACATTCTGGGTGTTTTTGCAGTTTCAAACAACAAAACCCATTTGAGAAGCTTTGCTGACCTTTCAAACAGCTGAAGAAATTGAGATGGTTAGCTAAATTAAAGAGCATAATGGAAAAAAAAAAAAGTGATTTCCTTTGGGTCAAAAGTTTGCCACCACGAAAGGAAAATGAAGTTGCCAGCCAAGAAAGTGTAAATGTCATTAGTTTCCCTCTAATAATGTGCACTTGCTAAAGCAAGGGAGTAGGTGCAATCAATTAAGTGTGACTTGGCAGCTTGCACGCTTCCCACGCGTTGCCGAGAGTCCCGTCCTGAGCAGGCTGCTTGCAGCCAAGTGAGATCTCACCAAGCGAGGGCTGTGCAGGGTGGTGGGGAAGCCAGGAAAGGCTTGTCTCGCAGAGAGGCTTGGGGAGAGAGTGCTGAGATAACAGTGACCTGCCTGTCCTTCTCCCAGGACCATCTCCTGAGCTTGTTTCCTCCAGCTGGAGGGAGAAGCAAGAGAGAAAACAGAGAGAAAACACCCCAAGATTCATTTGTCCACACACTGGATGAAACATAGAGCAAATTATACAGCAAGGATACATGAGGGCAACACGTGCTGTGTAATTCCTCTTGCAAGGCCCAGTGCTGCCCTGTTTCCAGGCATGACTGTGCAGGGAGAGCCGCTGAGAACCAGACCCAAGCCTCACTCACGCCAAGTGCCTTAACAGGCAGCCTTGGAGCAGCTTCATGTGGGCTACATTACATTTACACCCATTTTCTGGAGTGGTTTGTGCTACCACAGTGATGTGCAATGGCCCACAGAGCAAAATCAGGAAGTACCTTTTCTTGTCCTGTACTCCTTTAGCAACTTCTGCCTGTACAATGCAAAGTGCATTTAAACGTCTGCCTCAGCTTTAATGTACAACTCAGAAGCAGCGAAGGACTCATTATTCCTCCTTTACAGACTGAAACAACTTGACACAGCCATGCAGTGACTTTTGAAGCACAGCTGGATCTCCAATACTAATCATGTCTCATCTCTCCCCCCTCCTCTCTTTGCCAAGTTACAAAGCTAGGAGCTCGGGCATGTTGCCAGCCTCAGTCTCCACCTCTTTATGCCATCATCTCTGTCTTGAAAAGCAGTTTTTGAATGCTATTCTTTGGCTTTAGATATCCTTCATGCCCTCTTCTTAGACCATAGGTAAAGAGCCAGAGGGTGCAAGACAATGTTGCACCCTGATGACCCTCTCATGATGAGTCCATCATGACCCTCTCCAAGTTACCCCTGAGACAAGGGCACACACCCACAGGTTCTTCCTTAACCAAGGGGCTAAGGTAGAGTGACCTTCCACTGCACAAGGAAAAGTAAAGGAGGAACGAGCAGCAAGAATATCTGCCACCCATGGGAAGGCAAAGCTCAGCCATTGCTGAGGGACATCTGCCAAGGGGTGGCCAAAGCTGGACAAAAACAGGGATTGACGGATGACAGCTGAGAAAGAGGAAGGAGCATCACTCCTTCCTCAGGCTGCTCAGGGTCTGGGGTTTCTCCGTAGCCAGGATCCACGGTGCTGTCTGCGCATCTGCTTGGACTGCTCAGCCAAAAGCTAAATAAAGTGCCTGTAGGGGACAGGGAAATAACTGTGGGAACGGAGTGAGCTCATGCGCACTTGACTCGCTGAACCACAAGCAGACGTGGGGGTCACGGACGGAGGGAGCTGGGGCTGCATGATGGGGGACACAGTAAGCTTGGCCCTGCTCAGAGAGGGATCACATCAGGCTGTAGCAATCCCAGTCCTTCCAGGGAGCCAGAGAGCTGGAAAGAGGGAGAAGGATGGGGGACGAGAGAAGAGAACCATCTCATTAGGCCGGCACTGCAGCTTTTAGCATGTTTCCCTACCTTCTGCAGCTTGAAGAGAGCGCTGTCCCAATTGCTCACTGTGTCCCCCCACCCAGGGAGCTGGCTCCTGTTACTTAACACTTCTCTCCGCCTTCCATCTTCAGGATACATCTGCCCTGGATTCGTCCTCCCTTCCCCCAGCTGAACACGACAACAACCAGAAATATCCTGTGATCCCTTCTGCTTCACCTGTAATTTGCCTAATGCTGGCAATGAGCTGAACTGTCTGCCTTTGTCAAGATCAAAAAAGGCATCTCGGCCACGTGATGTCAGCTTACACCAAAGCCCTCCTCTCCTCCATCCGCCTCCCCTCTCCAGCACTTGCCAGAGTGGGGGGGTGTCTATGCTGGCAACCTCCCCCTGCGACCTCCTTTCTGCCTTTGCCCATGTCCTGCGCCTTGGAGGAGCCCCGGTGCACGGTGTGGAGAGAGCAAACCCAAGCGGGCAGCCCCTGCACAGAGCTTGGGCACCCAACCTTCAGCGAAGACTCTCAGCAAGGGACACTGTGAGACAGACTGCGGGTCAGTGAGGGAAAGCGGCTCTTGAGGGCTTCCCCACGTTGTCTCCTCCTGCTCTGCCCTCCTCGTACGCTGTGGTAGCGGCTCAGCGTGCACCTGCAACACTGCGTCTCTGCAGTGCCTTGGCACGAGCTGCATCCTGCCCGCAACACGGAGAGCACGAGCAGGGCAGCACCGGGCCGGCAGGAGGCAGGCGGCGAGGGGCAGGAGAGCAGGGGGGAATGGGCAGGAGGGGGCAGGACAGCGCTCGGTGCTGCGGGATCATCCTTCTGAAGCGAGCGAGGATGATTTAGCACACGTGACGCCAAGCGCTGCTGAAGCAACGTCCCCAAACCAGCTGCCAGCTGCCGTGAGGGTACTGGGTGATGTGCCAGCGGGCACAGAGGCTGTAAGCACAAAGTATAGACGTAACTTGGAGCAGATAGATCAATTCTTCTTTTTTTTTTATTTTTTAACAAAGTTAGTGATTATGCAGTTGATTACACCTCTCGCTAGGCTTGTAATCAATACTTAAACCATATAGCGAGTGTCCCTGTGCTGCTTCGAAATGAGGCTGGTGGGTCTGAATATGCTTTTCACTTTCCCATCCTAATGCATAATTCATATCACTATGGCTATAAATACGGCCATTCCCAGAGAACACACACTTGGTTCCGCACCACGGTGGAGGCGGTGGGGCTCTCCCCAGCTCCCACCAAGCAGTGCTGGGCTGGCTTGTGAAGGAGGCCTGTGGGAGCCCAGTTCCACTCCTGCAAGCCGGGAGGTTGGAGCATGGAAAAGAACCCAAATATGGGGAGCGAGGAAATAACCCCAGGCATTTTTAAGAGGATGAATCAACCAAGGCTCACAGCAAAGCCTGGGAAAGAAGGATGCAAAGCGAAACACGGATGGTGTTTTCTGCAGAAGGGCACAGGGAGCCGCTGCGGAGGCAGCAGGGAGCGCTCCAGGAC